GGTACAATCTCAGCTCACTGCAACCTCTGCCTCCCGGGTTCAAGCAATTCTCCTGCCTCAGCCTCCCGAGTAGCTGGGATTACAGGCACCCACCACCACATCTGGCTAATTTTTTGTATTTTTAGTAGAGACGGGGTTTCACCACGTTGGCCAGGCTGGTCTCGAACACCTGACGTCAGGTGATCCACCCACCTTGGCCTCCCAAAATGTTGGGATTACAGGTATTTTTGTTTTGTTTTGTTTTGATTTTGAGACAGAATTTCACTCTTGTTGCCCAGGCTGGAGTGCAATGGCACGGCCTCAGCTCACTGCAACCTCCACCTCCCGCGTGCAAGCAATTCTCCTGCCTCAGCCTCCCAAGTAGCTGGGATTACAGGCATGCAGCACCACACTTGGCTAATTTTGTATTTCTAGTAGAGACGGGGTTTCTCCATGTTGATGAGGCTGGTCTCGAACTCCCGACCTGAAGTGATCCACCCGCCTCGGTCCCCCAAAGTGCAGGGACTACAGGTGTGAGCCACTGCGCCCGGCCTCTTTTTTTTTTTTTTAATTGTACAGATGGATTTTCACTATGTTGCCTCAGCTGGTCTCAAATTTCTAGGTTCAAGCCATCCTCCTGCCTCGGCCTCCCAGAGTGCCAAGATTTCAGGTGAGAGCCACCATGCCAAGCCATAAACCCATTTTAAAAAGAGAAACTGTCAGCCGGGCGCGGTGGCTCACACCTGTAATCCCAGCACTTTGGGAGGCCGAGGCAGGCAGATTGCCTGAGGTCAGGAGTTCAAGGCCAACCTGGTCAACATGGTGAAATCCCATCTCTAATAAAAATACAAAAATTAGCCAGGCATGGTGGCACATGACTGTAATCCCAGCTACCCAGGAGGATGAGGCAGGAGAATTGCTTGAGCCTGAGAGACGGAGGCTGCAGTGAGCCAAGATTGTGCCACTGCACTCCAGTCTGGGCGACAGAGCAAGACTCTGTCTCAAAAAAAAAAAAAAAAAAAAAGAGAAAGAGAGAGAGAGAAACTGTCAGAGAATGACAAGTACCATGAGGAATTGAGGCAATATGTGACAGAGACAGGGCCCACTTTGGACAGCACCATCAGGGAGGCTGGGTTGATCTGGAGGAGCTGGCCATGCAAAGCACCATGGGAAGTGCAATCCAGACAGAGGGAACAGCAGATGCAAAGGATGTAGGACAGGAAGAAGCTCAAGGAGAGTGAATATCCCTGGAAATACAGTTAGAATGCAGGGTGAAGGCTGGGCACGGTGGCTCATGCCTGTAATCCCAGCACTTTGGGAGGCCGAGGTGGGCAGATCACTTAAGGTCAGGAGTTCAAGACCAGCCTGGCCAACATGGTGAAATCCCGTATCTACTAAAAATACAAAAATTAGCTGAGTGTGGTAGCGTGCACCTATAATCCCAACTACGCGGGAGGCTGAGGCAGGAGAATCACTTGAACCTGGGAGGCAGAGGTTGCAGTGAGCCGAGATTACACCGCTGTACTCCAGACTGGGTGAAACAGCAAGACTCTGTCTCAAAAAAAAAAAAAAAAAAAAAAAAAAAAAAAATGCAGGGTGAAAATAAAATCAAATAACATGTTGCCATTAAAACAGCAGTAATTGCTAGGATCTCAGCACATACCAGCTTTTCTCAGATCTCATGAAATTCCTCGGAGGAAGTTGCTGTCTCTGTCCCCCTTTTACAGATGAGGGAAACTGAGGCAGGGAGCAGCGAAGTGACTTGCCTGAGATGACACACCTAGGAAAGTGGGAGTCAGGGTTCAAACCCCCCGAGTCTGACTCTTTCCCACAGCGTGAGGGTAAAGGGGCGGTATTCAACCTGGCACTGGGGAGCAGCGAAGCTTCCAGGGGAGATGATGTTGAGGCAGAGGCCCGGGGGTGCCAAGAGAACTCTGATCAGAGGAGGGCGTTCTGCAGAGAGAGAACCATAGGTGCAGGCAGGGCATGGTGGCTCACGCCTGTAATCCCAGCACTTTGGGAGGCTGAGGTGGGCAGATCACTTAAGGTCAGGAGTTCGAGACTAACCTGGCCAACATGGTGAAACCCCGTATCTACTAAAAATACAAAAATTAGCCGGGCTTGGTGGCGTGCACCTATAATCCCAACTACTCGGGAGGCTGAGGCAGGAGAATCGCTTGAACCCGGGAGGTGGAGGTTGCAGTGAACTGAGATCACTCCATTGCACTCCAGCCTGAGTGACAAGAACGAAACTCTGTCTCAAAAAAGAAAGAAAGAAGAAAGAAAGAAAAAAAAAGAAAAGAAAAGAAAAGAGAGAGACAGAAAACTGTGGGTACAAAGGCCCGGGCCTAAGCAAGGGCCTGCAGGTTTGGGAAAATCCACATAGGATAAAGCTGACTCCTGGGCCAGCCTGAGGGGCAGGAGGAATCAAAAAGCTGGTGCTCTATCCTGGGGTGCTGGGGAGCGACAGAGGGTTGTGTGCGGTGAAAAGCAGGTCAGGGGCAAAGGCAAGGGTAGAGACTGGAGCCAGGAAGACCAGGAGGAGGCTGTGGGGATGAGGAGGAGAAGACTGAGAAGAGTTGGGGGCAGGAATGAAGGTGGAGGTGAGGTGTGAGGAGGAAGAAGAGGTAAAGGGGTCCCTGGGGATCTGGCCCCAGGAGCAGGTCAGTGAGGGCCATCCAGAGATGGGGAGCTGGGGAAGGACTGGGGTGCAGTCAAGGAGAGAGACTCTGAGGTGAGGAAACAGATCAAAAAGGTAAGAGTGGGCCGGGCTCAGTGGCTCACACCTGTAATCCCAGCACTTTGGGAGGCTGAGGGTGGATCGCTTGAGGTCAGGGGTTCGAGACCAGCCTGGCCAACATGGTGAAATCCCGTCTTTACTAAAAATACAAAAATGAGCCAGGCGTGGTGGCGCATGCCTGTAATCCTGGCTGCTCAGGAGGCTGAGGCAGGATACCAGCCTGGGCAACAGAGCGAGACACCATCTCAAAACAACAACAGCAACAAAAAAAGGGTGGAGGCAGCAGTTTGGCTGTGCTGGGAGGTTGGGGCTGGATGAAGAGGAAGGGGCTGTCTTCCCAACCCAGCCGCCTCCTCACTCCACAGGAGCCTGCAGCACCCCAATGTCCTCCAGTGCCTGGGTCTGTGTGTGGAGACACTGCCGTTTCTGCTGATTATGGAGTTCTGTCAACTGGTGAGGGTCTTGGGGGGTTGGGGAAGGGCAGAGGGGAGAGCTGGACGGG